TTGGTAGTTGTTTATGCTAGGCGTAAGTCATGACTATCTGGTAAACAGCTTAGTATCAATCTAAAAGGGTTGAGACTTACATTTTGTTGGGGGTTCTGTTTTGGGGGTTCTGTTTTGAATTGAAGTGGTCAGAATGAGAAACAACGGGGATAGGGGAGTTTATTTCCAGTCAGACTATGTTCCCTCCTTTATCCTCCTCTCCTATCCTTTGAACCATGTGGACGTCTCTCTCGGTCTCTCGGTTCCGAAGTCAAAACAAGCGTGTCAGGCACGGCGGGGTGTTTCCTCCTTCGGCCGAACATGACTGACCGAGTTAGCCTGGCGAGTGAGGGGAAACATCGCAGCAGTGTTTCTGCTGACCCCTGACCCTTACTAGAACCAACAGGCTTGGTCCAGCGCCAGGCGCAGGCTGGCTGCTCATTCCTCCACATCCACGGGTTGGTGTGTGTGTGTGTGTGTGTATTTCTAGGCCGTTGTCATTTCAAAACCCAGAACGCTAGCAAAGCAAAGTGAGAGGGCCGAGCAGCACGGTAGGGTTAGGGTAGTGGGTTATGTTAAGTAGGACTGATTAGAATGAGGACACAGTGTTCTGAAGGAAGGGAGTAGGGTTAGGGTAGTGGGTTATGTTGAGTAGGACTGATTAGAATGAGGACACAGTGTTCTGAAGGAAGGGAGTAGGGTTAGGGTAGTGGGTTATGTTGAGTAGGACTGATTAGAATGAGGACACAGTGTTCTGAAGGAAGGGAGTAGGGTTAGGGTAGTGGGTTATGTTGAGTAGGACTGATTAGAATGAGGCCACAGTGTTCTGAAGGAAGGGAGTAGGGTTAGGGTAGTGGGTTATGTTGAGTAGGACTGATTAGAATGAGGACACAGTGTTCTGAAGGAAGGGAGTAGGGTTAGGGTAGTGGGTTATGTTAAGTAGGACTGATTAGAATGAGGACACAGTGTTCTGAAGGAAGGGAGTAGGGTTAGGGTAGTGGGTTATGTTGAGTAGGACTGATTAGAATGAGGACACAGTGTTCTGAAGGAAGGGAGTAGGGTTAGGGTAGTGGGTTATATTGAGTAGGACTGATTAGAATGAGGACACAGTGTTCTGAAGGAAGGGAGTAGGGTTAGGGTAGTGGGTTATGTTGAGTAGGACTGATTAGAATGAGGACACAGTGTTCTGAAGGAAGGGAGTAGGGTTAGGGTAGTGGGTTATGTTGAGTAGGACTGATTAGAATGAGGACACAGTGTTCTGAAGGAAGGGAGTAGGAGATCGCTTTCCCCGGTGAGTGCTTTGTGTTTGCCATTAAGCCTTTAAGTGTGTGTGTGTGTGTGTGTGTGTGTGTGTGTGTGTGTGTGTGTGTGTGTGTGTGTGTGTGTGTGTGTGTGTGTGTGTGTGTGTGTGTGTGTGTGTGTGTGTGTGTGAGAAGGTGTGTGTGTGAGAGTGTGTGTTTGGGGAAGGGATAGTCAAAGATCAGAGTCATTCACATAATGAACCATCCAATTGAGCCCAAGCTCAGCAGCCAATGACAGCGGTCAGGTGACTTCCTCATGGATGTGACCGTGAATGGGCCGCGCCTCTCGCGGTCACAACACTCCAGAGAGCCAGCTTTACAGCCTTGTTACCTCAAACCCTTACGACCCACCAGCGCCCAATAGTAGAGGGACTATAGTCCATTCTATAGACCTAAAGCACTGCCTGGAGGCTAATAAGCATTTATGTCTTTATAACCCATATTAGAGCCTTATGTCACAAGCCCTTAGACTCACTATAATGACAACCATAGATATTTAGACATAGATAGATATACAGTATGTTTCTCTATGTAGCTATATATATATATGTTTCTGATGGTAATGTTAATACATCCCTGTCTGTATGCTACCATTCCTTGATATGTTTACACTCATACAGGTCGTAAATATGAGCACCCTATAGTGTGTTCACTTCATCCAGTTCTCTGTAATGTCTGCTGTGTGGATCATCATAGGGTCCTATTCACAGGAACATAAAAGAGGATACTATTTTCAACCCACCCTGACGAATTGGAATGAGAAATTTGAAATAGCTCGGTCTGAACGTTGTGTATCGGGAACGGAATTAAATGTGCCTCCTTTTTCAAGTACACTATTACGCGTGTGTGTGTGTGTGTGTGCGTGTGTGTGTGTGTGTGTGTGTGTGTGTGTGTGTCAGCCAGGCAATCTTGATAAAATTGAGTGACCAGGGTCTGGTTTAATAACAAACATAAGTAAGTACCAGCAAAGGCCTGTGAGGGACGGACACACACACACACACACACACACACACACACACACACACACACACACACACACACACACACACTGCCAGCTTTCTTGAGCGAGGCGACCAGACATGAGAACAACCGGTTCATAGTCTCTGACACGCAGGGTTGGGGTCAGAAAGAGAGGGAGGAGGAAAAGTACAATCTAATAATGATCTACTTTTTTTAATGGGGTGGGGGGGGGGGGGGGGGGTCTAAAATGAAAACATTTATTGAAAGAATGACATAGCGGCAAAGTCAATCCATCTGATCCTAAAATACTTGGTTGATGTTTCTCTCCCCCTCCCAGCTAGGTCTCTGTTGGCCTGGTATGAGGTATCCAAACAGAAGATCTCTCTGTTTCACTGCTGTTGTAATAGTGATAAACATAACCTGGTTTCAGTTCAGATCAGTTAGGATACTAAAGAACAGGTCTCTGTGCCATTGTGTCATAAATAGGTGCAGGTGTGGATCTGGAACTGACTCCAGATAAATAAACAGTGGTGAATCTCCAGAGGAGGAGTAGAGGAGGGGAAGCAGGGAGTATGGAGGGGCTACGCCTTGTTTTTGTTTTTTTCATAGAACCAAGATGGTCGCCCATTGGCTCGGGTTACGCTCGGATGATGTGTGCGCCGAGCCCTGCCTAGTGCAGCTGAGCACACTGAGTGGATTTTTCCAGCGAGAGGAGAAAGTAGTCTTCCACCACCACCAGATCAGACCCCAGCCACGGCCCTCGGCCTTCTTCCTGCCCGCTTCCCCTGGCCTCCCCTGGCCTGGGTCCAGCTGCTTCATGTGGGCTGGGGAGTGGGGAGAGTTGGGGCAGGTTGGAGGTGGTGGGGTGGAGGCCCCCACCCCTGGTCCTCTTCTGAAGACACTTGTTCTCCTGTGGGGTGGAGGGTGAGGAGGGTGTGTTGGTGTTGGCAGCCAGGGTGGGATAGCGTAGTAGGGGGGTAGACGAGGGGGGGTAGGTGCCCCCTTGGGAGAAATAGGAATGAAAGCGCTGGAGCACTTTCACACGGCCCCTCGTTTTCAGCTGAATTCCTGTATGCACCTGCAAGATGTTTTTGCTCTACTATTTTTAGAGTAAATGTTGTAAGTTTTTTCTGAAGACCGCAATGATTAAACGCCCTGAAGTGAAAGATGCCATTATAATTGAGGTTAGGGGGAATAACGATGTTTGGTGTTGGGGAGAGAAGATGGCTGCTAGTCTAACGTTCACCCTCAGGCTATGTCTGGGTCTTACTGACCTCCTAATGAAGTGGGCTGGGAGGAGGATGGTCTCACTTTCTCTATAACACAGGCAACGCCCTGCCCTGAAAAAGAAACAACTAGCTTGGGATAAGTACAAGGACCCTGTGTGTGTGTGTGATTGTGTGTTGGCTTGTGTGTGTGTGTGCCTTCGTGTACGTGCACCTGTGTGTGCGTGCAACTGTGTGTGTGTATGCAGTGGCGGCTCCTGAAAAAATTCTCAGGGGGGGCAATTTTTCTGATGATTTAGGTGACCTACACACATTTTAAAAAAGATATGTCCAGCAACAACATGAAGACAGGGGCAGCATATAAGTCAATACCAGAAGCATTTATTGACTGATCTCAAAAGTGTTGGCTTACCAGGGTTGGTGGAGCCCTCAGTTTCATCTTTGCCTCGCAAAGCTAACTCAAACACTCCGCAAAACTTCACACACTGGATTAGCCGGCTGAGGATGTGGCGGTTCTTGCTAATGTCGTAGTAAATATATTTGTTATAGTGAATATGGAATATGATATGTTGAGTAAAATGTTGTGCTAAGATCTATTTAGGTCAGGAGCTGGTTATAAGTTCTGTTCCTATCCAATAAAAATGGACAAAAGGGTCCTATCTTGTCAGCCTTGTCAGCAGGTGGCCAAGGACAACACCCACGCCATAGGCCTCTCAGTTCTTCCAACTCACGAGTTCTTGCTCTGAGGACACACACACACACACACACAAACACACACACACACACATCATCACTGTTAAACACACACACACACACACACACACACACACACACATCATCACTGTTAAACACACACACACACACACAAAAATCCCCTCTCTTAGGCTGAACATTTGAAGACAGAGAACCCGACTCAGAGCCAATGCAACAGTGACAGTAGCCTGGAGGGGACCTCGCCCAACTCATCAGGACCAATCAGAAGATCAGAACTACTAGATTCAACCTACTTCATTTATTGCATAAAATGTCTGCACACAATGTTTCGGGGCTCTCTTCAGATAATAATAATAATAATAATAATAATAAGCCATTTAGCAGACGCTTTTATCCAAAGCGACTTACAGTCATGCGTGCATACATTTTTGTGTATGGGTGGTCCCGGGGATCGAACCCACTACCTTGGCGTTACAAGCGCCGTGCTCTACCAGCTGAGCTACAGAAAGTGGATACTCATGGATGCGCATCGCAATTGTAAAATGTCAACACAATTGGAGACACCACGTCATTTTTGGAGACATGTTATTGACAGTAAACTATTGTAGATGCGACTGCTAACTAAATAAAACATTTTAGCTGGCTAGCTAATCATCTTAGCTAAATGTGGGGCAAACAATTCAGTTATTTACCGTTAATTTGAGGGATTGGGGTGAAAGAAATCGAGTTACATAGTGATACTTTACGATATACTGTATTGACAATATCGCAATATTTTAGCGCTAGTTGGCTGTACCTGCACCAAAACACCATTATTGTTCCTTCATAGCTTGTTCTCAATCTTTTCACATTGGGAGCCAATTTGTTTTCAGCACTTTTATTTCCATGACTGATCAAAACTCGTTCTCATGGCTTTCTGATCCCTCTGCAACAGACATATGGTGCGCAATAAAATCACAGTATCGAATCGCAATACGTATAGAATCATGAGACTCGCAATGCATATATCTTATCGTGAGGTTCCTGGCAATTCCCAGTCCAAGTTCATTTGCCACAACAAATCTCTTCGCTAGCAAACGCGATGTCTTCTCCAAAACGGCAATGTGTCTCCAGCAATGTTTACTTTTTTGACGTTCTATGGCATCTCCACTTTCCAAGCATATATGACCACATGTAATATTTTGGTAAGTGATGCAAATAGTGAACTATGTAGGGCCAGGATGTAAAATATATGTAGCTGCAGCAATTTCTCTTATCTGATATGGTAAGTAATGGGGCTTAATGTATAGCTCCCTAAGAGTTTGACGAACGGGTCCGTGCACGCGATTCCAGATATCTTTACCTCTGAATAAACTGCCTTTATTATACCATATCCACCCTGTCCAAAGTCTCTACTTGGTCTCAGTTCTCCAGTAAACTTGTGATTATCAACACTAACCTCATCGTTGTGGCGGCGGACAGCTAGCCTGTATCCCTCATCCAGTTGAGTGGCAATGTCTTTTTTCGTTCGTACCAATTTTTGGAAAATCCTCGGGTGTAGGACTTTCCGCCTTTAGTAGAAACCTGTTGAATTATTAAATTTGGTCTGGGAGGTCCTAATTGTTTCGTTGCCAATTTATCTTCATTTGTTCGCCGACAAAAAGGAACTTCTTTCAAAGACACAATCGAGTTGTTACGTTCATGGTTACGTTACGTATGACGAAAGCGCGTAAGTGCAAGCCCTCAGACACCCATAGAGATTGTATTGAAAGCTCTGAAATTTGAAAAAAATAGATTTTACATGGGAGTCTATGACAGACTTCTGGGCGATTTTCAACCTGACTGAAATCGCCCCAAAAGGGGGGGTGGCCATTTGAAGCAATTGGACATTTAGTGGCAGTGTGGCACTGTGGCAGATCAGACGTCTAGATTACAACACTGATAACTACTGTTGCCGTGATATAATTGATTAGAAAAAAAATCCCTTCCTTTTCCCGTTTGGCAGTGCGTCGCCCATATCGCCCTATTGAACAGGCCGCCCCTGTGTGTATGTATGTGTGTGTGTGTATGTGCGTTCACAACAGACCCAGGTGTGCTGGGCTCCTCAGCCAGAGAGCGAGCAGCCTGTCTGTGATTAGGCTGATTGTAATGGAGGGTTGGCCTGAGGACAGACAGGAGGTAGTCTGCTGTTAGAGCCAGTTTACTGGTCAGATGGAGAGAAGCCTGGAGCTGGAGGAAAGGAAGGAAGGAAGCCTAGCTAGGACAAAGAAAGGCTTCATGCATTATCCTAGAAAACATAAGGCATTTTAAGGCCCATTTTTTATACAAAATGGGATAAAAGTAGCCATAAAAGAGTAACACAATCTGACTATAGGAGTAGTATAGGATAGGAGTGCTAGGATCTGATCCCACTAGGACACAAAATGACTATAGGAGTAGGATAGGATAGGAGTGGATGATCTGATCCCACTAGGACACAAACTGACTATAGGAGTAGGATAGGATAGGAGGGGAGGATCTGATCCCACTAGAACACAAAATGACTATAGGAGTAGGATAGGAGTGCTAGGATCTGATCCCACTAGGACACAAAATGACTATAGGAGTAGGATAGGATAGGAGTGGAGGATCTGATCCCATTAGGACACAAACTGACTATAGGAGTAGGATAGGATAGGAGTGGAGGATCTGATCCCACTAGAACACAAAATGACTATAGGAGTAGGATATGATAGGAGTGGAGGATCTGATCCCACTAGGACACAAATTGACTATAGGAGTAGGATAGGATAGGAGTGGAGGATCTTGATCCCACTAGGACACAAAATGATTATAGGAGTAGTATAGGATAGGAGTGCTAGGATCTGATCCCACTAGGACACAAACTGACTATAGGAGTAGGATAGGATAGGAGTGGAGGATCTGATCCCACTAGAACACAAACTGACTATAGGAGTAGGATAGGATAGGAGTGGAGGATCTGATCCCACTAGGACACAAACTGACTATAGGAGTAGGATAGGATAGGAGTGGAGGATCTGATCCCACTAGGACAAACTGACTATAGGAGTAGGATAGGATAGGAGTGGAGGATCTGATCCCACTGGGTTATAATCAGTGTTGAGTCAATAAGAGTAGGTTTATATCATGCGGAAACCTCTTGCAATTGGTTTCCGCTCTCTTCTGCTGCAGTAACACGCCACCCTATCAGACAGCCCATATCCAGTGTAGCGTCAAGTACTTTCACATTTGTTAATTCTACCACACATCACTCAAACGACTGTCATCAAATTATCGAGTGCTTTTCTGTGTTGACTGGTGTGGCTGCGGTTAAGTGGTCATTTTGGGGGCGTTGGCATCTGGGGCCCCTTGGGTCAGTGGTTTTCACTCTCAAGGTCAGACACTGCAGTACGAGGCGGCCATTTTGGTTCTAGAGATGCCTTGGGCGTGTGGCGTGCGTCGGCGAAGCTCGCGTCCGGCCCGCTCCCTCGTTTTTGGGCGGTCGACTCACGTTACGCCGCCTTTCTGAGAACACCCCGTGTGGGTTTTTCTTGGCCAGCTTTGCCAAGAGTCTGTCAGTAAGAGATACAGCCTAGAGAGAGTAGAGGAGACAGTAAAGGCGTAGGGCGTTGACCCTGTGATATTTAGGTCAGGGTGTCATGCTGTCAGGCCCTGTATGTGTGTAGTCCATGTCGTGACAGGTTTGGGACCGACACTGTAATAGCTAACCAGCCTGCCAATAAACTGGACATAGATTAGGCCAAGTCATTTGTAAGCCTATGACCTCAACATACATCAAGATACGATCTGGACTTAACTGTTGATTGAAGTGTACATCAAGATAATATCTCTCCTTAAAGATGCGCTATGCAGAAATTGCTCCGCTATTTCCTGGTTCCAAAAATTCTATAGGTTCGACTAATTTCAGTTTATGTGACAAAATAAGCAAGTATAGTGTAGAGAATCATTGTACCATCTAAACCGCTGTGAAATATATTTTCCATAACCAAAAATATTGTATTTTCACCTGTTTGAAGCTGGTGTACAAAAACGAAAGTAAAAGACGCAAAAACAAAAATTAAAAACGGGAAGCATAGAAATAGCGCACATAGAACAGATCTACCGCTTCTTAGACTTGCTTTCAATGAGAATGACAGATCTATAACTCACATTTCTATGTGAATTCTGTCAGGTCACCCAACAAGTAACGTATTGCAGCTTTAACTGTTGATTGAAACATGCATTAAGATAACATATCTCCTTAACTGTTGATTGAAACATGCATCAAGATAATATCTCTCCTTAAATGTTGATTTCATGTTTTATGGTGGTGGAGTATCATCTCTAGCATATTGCCCGAGCCTCGTTCATTCATCCTTCTGTCCCTTCATCCCTAGCTGGTCAGAAATGGTCAGCTTGTATTCCTCCTCCTCCTCCTCCTCCTCCTCCTCCTCCTCCTCCTCTCCTCCCCTCCTCCTCTCCTCCCCCCATTGTGAGACCAAGGCCCACACATTATTGATGTTTGACTACCCTTTTCAATTTGCAGTTTACAATTAATTTCGGGTGCTCGTTAGCACGACCGTTTCCTCATGAGCTGACGTAAAAGGCCACGGTTGCGTCCCAAAATGGCACCATATTCCCTAGATAGTGCACTACTTTTTCAGAGCCCATAATGCACGTAGCCCATCTCTTTGGCTCTCCTGCTACCAGAGGCAGCGACCAACACAAGCATATTGTCCGCTCTCTCTCTCTCTCTCTCTCTCTCTCTCTCTCTCTCTCTCTCTCTCTCTCTCTCTCTCTCTCTCTCTCTCTCTCTCTCTCTCTCTCTCTCTCTCTCTCTCTCTCTCTCTCTCCTCTGTACAATGACATAATGTGACAGAAAGCACACTCACACACTGCGGCTGTCGGGGCTTATGCAACCCGCGTGGCTGTGTTGTTTGGACAGGCCATTAAACCTGCAGAAGGAGTGTGTGTTTGTGTGTGTGTGTGACCTGCACTCGACCCTCGCCGCTCTCTCAACACACTCCGTCCACAAGCTAGAGTGTGTGTGAGGATGTATGGAGAAGAGAGAGAGGATGTATGGTTGTGTGTGTGTGTGTGTGTGTTGTATGTGTGTTGGTGTGTGATGAGAACAGTTGGGGAAGCTGGGTGTTATAGAGTGTAGGACGTTCACCGTTCAATGTAGAGAAAAATGGAGCGAATTCAAGAGGGTGCTACAAAATGAATGTCAAAACCTAGTTTTCTTTGCCCTATGTCATTATAAATTACATAGAATGAACCGTTAGATTGTTCTCTACAATATTATAACCTTAGTATACTTGTTCTTGACAGTGTTGATGAAATAAGAACGTTAATTTCCTGGGATAGTTACAAGTTTAGACTGCGCCGCTCTTGGTTGTATCGCTTCCATATTTGGTGTTGTGAGGTGGTACCATTTGGAGGCGTTTCCGTTGGTTGGACCAATCAAAATCAACTTGGTACCTTTGTCATTTTCACCTCCAGATCCTTGGCTTTCATTGTGTATTTTGGCGATCAATCGACGTTGAGAGGGGTCGTTTCTATGGTGATTTAAAGGGAAAGACTCTTTGTAAATAAATATCTATTTAATTTTGTATTCAGCGGATTTCATTTAGAAAAAGCCCAGGTTTTCACTCACGAACCTGTAGCCACTAGTTAGTTTGTCAGTTGACGTTTGAAGTTAGCGCCGTTCTGCCGCGGAGCAGCGCCACAGAGTTCTATTGAGCAGTGACCCCTTTTTGATCATGCCTGTGAAGACATTCCATTCACTCTAAACATGCTACATTCTCAGAGTAAATCGTCTGGAACGTTTGAACCACATATGGTAGAGACATGGGGTTTGGACTATTGTTTTTCTGACGGAATTCTCTATTTGTATAAACCTTGAATGAATTCATCCTTTTATGGGTGAACACCCTATGGAGTGCTGACAGAATATGAGACTCTACCTTTTGTCATGTATATAGGAAGGGTTTGCATTGCAAATGCGCTAGGATGTAATTTCTCCGCTCCGGATTTGACAGTGGTTGCAACCAGGATGTGTATGCTCCCAGCATGTTTTACTTTGACATTACCCCCCCCCCCCCCCCCCCCCACCACCACCACACCCCGCCCGATAAGCGTTGTGGTTGAGTTCCACATGAAAAAATGACACGAAAACCAACAGAACAGTCACCTGATTAGGATCGCTCTCTAGCGAACCTCTGCCATCTACTTCCCCTTCCCGTCTCCTCTCAGTCTCTGTGTGCATTTGTGCTGCGAGTGTTTCTACCACAGAAATGACTTCAAAATAATCTCTCTAGTTCACCTGTGTTGACCCTGCAGTGTAGGAGTCTTTCCTGTACATGTTGCTGACTCAACTCACTCCCTCACCACTCTCCACTCTGGTTGTTTGTGTTACAGACGTGCCAAACTACGGCTGTACCTTGAGCAGCTGAAGGAGCTGGTGCCTTTGGGTCCGGACAGCACTAGACACACCACACTGAGCCTGCTGAAAAGGGCCAAGATGCACATCAAGGTACCACGACCACGACCACATAGAACCACAACCACAACCAGAATCACACAGAACGTTAAATACAGCCTTCTAGAATTCTAGAATTGCCGTATCAGGACATCAGTGTAGAAGTACAATTACTAGAATGAACAAAATATTATGGAGCCAAACTTGGTGGCCTTTTGAAAGATCATTCTATCGTTTGTAATTCTACGGGCCACAGACAGAATCTTACCCTGTAATTCCAGAGCAACGGAAACTGAAAGTTGTTGAACTTCAAATCACAAAACCACAGGCCTTTGAAAGGGTGAACTGTAGTCATAATAAGTCAAAATTATGCCACTGGGCCCAGTCGGACTCCAGAGGTGAATAAATTATTGCATCGGACCTTTTCCTTTTCTTTTCAAAGGACCCCAGAGAGTTACCCATTGGCAGACAGACAGACAGACAGGAAGTAGGTCAGGAATGTCTCCCTGTCCTCAGGAAGTACCTCCTGATCCTACCTCAGAGGCTCAGAGCTCAGCTGCTGTTTCCTCAGAGAGTCTCCCTGCACCGCCAGGCACTTACTCTCTCTCTCTCTCTACATCTCTCTTTTTAAGTCTCTCTCTATCTCTCTCTCTCTACATCTCTCTTTTTAAGTCTCTCTCTATCGCTCTCTCTACATCTCCCCTCTGTCTCCTGTCTCCTGAGTGGCGCAGTGGTCTAAGGCACTGCATTGCAGTGCTAACTGTGCCACTAGAGATCCTGGTTCGAATCCAGGCTCTGTCGCAGCCGGCCGCGACCGGGAGACTCATGGGCGGCGCACAATTGGCCCAGGGTAGGGGAGGGAATGGCCGGCAGGGATGTAGCTCAGTTGATAGAGCATGGCGTTTGCAACGCCAGGGTTGTGGATTCGATTCCCACGGGGGGCCAGTATAAAAAAAAATATATATGTATTCACTAACTGTAAGTCGCTCTGGATAAGAGCGTCTGGTAAATGTAAAATCTCTCTTTTTAAATCTCTCTCTCTACATCTCTCTTTTTAAATCTCTCTCTCTCTCTCTCTCTCTCTCTCTGTCGCTCGCTCTCCTAACATAAGAAAATATACTCTAATCTTTCAATCAGAGCCGTTAAGCCCTAAAAAAATGGCTAGCGTGCAAGAAGTTGCATTCCCATTCCCAGGAAAGAAAAAAAGAGCCCTTGCTTGTTACAAAAAGAGTCAACAAAGAGAAACTTTTACTACATAGAAAAAAAGATGGAGTCAGATGGGGATGATTTTCAGATATGCGGTCGAATGTTATAATTGGATTTGGGGTTGGCTTTGGGTCAGCCTCCTCTACGGTTCATTACTTGTTGCAGCTCATGTACACCCAAGTGACAACCCACTGGGCAAAAACTGATTGAATCAACGCTGTTTCAACGTCATTTCAACAAAAACATTGTGATGACATTGAATCAACGTGGAAAACTGACTGGATTTGAAAAAAGTAATCAGCTTAAGGGAAATGTGTCTTTTAACCTCAATCCAATGACATGGTGAAATGTTTTGTTGATTTCACGTTGAATTCACGTTAGTTGACAACTCAACCAAATATATACCAAAACTAGATGTTGAAATAACGGTGGGAAGCGAAATACGGTCGGAAAACAGGACCGCAGAAGGACCGTTACAAAGAGAAGGGGATACTCTTTTTTGAACCACTACAAAACCGCAACCAGTACAACATTGTTTACTTCCTGCATTAAAGGTACAATCTGCAATTACAGCAGATTGAGTCTTAAAGAATATAACTTCATCGATGAATTTGGGATCGGTTACATTTCTCTAACCAGGTCCCTCAACTTTATATCAAACCAAGTGGCAGGGCTGACCTTTAGTTGCAAAACGAATTACAGTTTGTGCCTTTACCGTTGCGATGCAGTAGACTTTAGATGGTTACAGTCTAGTTATCCACAGCTGTTGCACGGACTGTGTGGGTGAGACCGTGTGGTCGGTGGAAAAACCCTATTTTAACCCTTCACATCCTGTTTACGGTACATAGGCCTGTCCTCTGGTGTACTGGTGCTATAATATCTACGGTTTTAGTTTGGTTAGTAGGCCACTCTAAAAGCACGCGATTACAGCACTTGGTTCGGTTTTCTTGTTCTTCCCCTGTTTAAAAATCCCTTGGTTGTAATTGTGTTGCAATCTGGGGAGTGTGTGAGTAATATCTGCCGTTGGGTCAGCTGAAGTCATGTTGTTCCTATGGTTTCACTTCCTTATTGTGATCACTAATGACTCTACGTGAGAACATACACGTGAAGGTATTGCTCAACTCCAAGCTATCAGAAGCAAATCTGTATGATCATATGAAGAATGATTTCAGTTACATCAATACCTCATGAGTGCAAGCACATAATTAACTCACAAATATTCAGGTTCTTTGTATTCACAGTGTTTCATTGTTGTTCCAAATAAAGACTCCATCAAGCGTCAGACCTGGGTTCAAATACTATTTCAAATATCTCAATTAGTTTCACATACATTTGAAATAAGTATTCTGAAACGTTTTATTTGAAAACACAAGTAGTTGAATATTTTTGGAAATACACTTGGATAGTATTTTAAAATACTCAAAAGACACTGACTAAAATACACTCCAATGCATTTAACCCAGGTATTTGAAAACAGTATTTGAAATAAGTATTTGAAAATACTGTCAAATACAATTTGGTAGACTATTTGGTTTTTACAAATAACCATTCAAATACTCAAATAAAAGTACTTGTTTTGGGCTGTGTATTTGAAAATACTCAAATACACAGAAAAAGTATTTTAAATACCAGATACTCAAATACACATGTATTTGAACACAGGTCTATCAAGTGTAAAATGTGTGTGTGCCCCAATATCATTGTAAATGTGTGTGTGTGTCCCAGTGTCATTCTAAATGTGTGTGTGTGTGTCCCAATGTCATTCAAAATGTGTGTGTGTTCCAATGTCATTCAAAATGTGTGTGTGTTCCAATGTCATTCTAAATGTGTGTGTGTGTGCCCCAATGTAATTCTAAATGTGTGTGTGTGTGTGTGTGTGTGCCCTGTAGAAGCTGGAGGAGGCAGACAGAAAGGCTCTGAACACCAAAGAGCAGCTCCAGAGAGAGCACCGCTACCTCAAACGACGTCTGGAACAGCTGGTGGTGCCGGGCGGTGTGGAACGCATCCGAACCGACAGCCTGGGCTCCACCATCTCCACCGACTCAGAGCAAGGTATGCTGGGACACACGCATGACACACGACATACAAGGTACTCAGAGCATGGTATGATGGGACATATGCTTGACACACACGCGCCTCCCTGAATGCTATAGTGACCTGTGAATGTGGTTTTCATTCATTCTTTGACCCCCCTTTGATTTAACAGCTGATGTGGATCACTAGAACCAGGTGTGGGGAGTCAATGACCGTAAATTAACTAATTAGTAGTCAAGGGGAGGGGAGAGAGAACTAGCAGCACTGCAGCTCTTGAGTTGAACACTCAGTATTTTCCAGCACATAATTAATATTTTCCACAAGATATATAGTATGTTAAAAACAGGACCAAACAGCACAAAACAGCACCAAACAGTACCAAACAGTACCAAACAGTACCAAACAGCACCAAACAGTACCAAACAGTATCAAACAGCACCAAACAGTACCAAACAGCACCAAACAGCACCAAACAGTACCAAACAGCACCAAACAGTACCAAACAGTACCAAACAGTACCAAACAGCACCAAACAGTACCAAACAGCACCAAACAGTACCAAACAGTACCAAACAGTATCAAACAGCACCAAACAGTACCAAACAGCACCAAACAGTACCAAACAGTACCAAACAGCACCAAACAGTACCAAACAGTATCAAACAGCACCAAACAGTACCAAACAGCACCAAACAGCACCAAACAGTACCAAACAGTACCAAACAGCACCCCCACACACCCCTGCATTATCTTAGCCAATGACATACAGATGTAGAATCTTAATTTGAGCCAGTTTGCTACAGCAGGAAAATTTTAATTATTATTTGGACACAATCCACAGCTTTAGGGCAGGACTCTGCCTGACCTCGACCTCTACTACATAGAGTGGATACTGCACTGAAGCCTCCAGGCCCTTGATACATCTAACCTAGTTCCCTCTACCATGCTCTAGTCTATTGGGATGCCTCTCCTTCCCTGCCTGTTCTGTAGACAGTGTTGACTTGATGGACTCCTTTAGTGCTTTCACCTACACCTCAATCTGTACAGAGCCGGAGAGAACTACTGTCCACTGTATTGCTCTGTACACACCTGCAAACACACACACACACACACACACACACACACACACACACACACACACACACACACACACACACACACACACACACACACACACACACACACACACACACACACAAACACACACAGAGAACAACTGTCCACTGTATTGCTCTGTACACAAACTGCCCCTCTCGACCCCTGGTGAAGACCACACACTCCTACTGAGCCTAGCCTGGTTTAGAGGTCACGCCCGGGGGCCAAGGTCTCTGCTGCCACTCTCGCTGTTACTAAACACAGAGGCTGTAGCTACACTGGAGCTAGACTGGAGCTAGACTGAAGCTAGACCGAAGCTGGGCTGGAGCTAGACTGGAACTAGACTGGAGCTAGACTGGAACTAGACTGAAGCTGGGCTGGAGCTAGACTGAAGCTAGACTGAAGCTGGGCTGGAGCTAGACTGGAACTAGACTGGAGCTAGACTGGAACTAGACTGGAACTAGACTGAAGCTGGGCTGGAGCTAGACTGGAACTAGACTGGAGCTGGGCTGGAGCTAGACTGGAGCTAGACTGAAACTAGACTGGAGCTAGACTGGAACTAGACTGGAGCTAGACTGGAACTAGACTGGAGCCGGGCTGGAGCTAGGCTGGAGCTAGACTGAAGCTGGGCTGGAACTAGACTGGAACTAGACTGGAGCTAGACTGGAACTAGACTGAAGCTGGGCTGGAGCTAGACTGAAGCTAGACTGAAGCTGGGCTGGAGCTAGACTGGAACTAGACTGGAGCTAGACTGGAACTAGACTGGAACTAGACTGAAGCTGGGCTGGAGCTAGACTGGAACTAGACTGGAGCTGGGCTGGAGCTAGACTGGAGCTAGACTGAAACTAGACTGGAGCTAGACTGGAACTAGACTGGAGCTAGACTGGAACTAGACTGGAGCTAGACTGGAACTAGACTGGAGCCGGGCTGGAGCTAGGCTGGAGCTAGACTGGAGCTAGACTGAAGCTGGGCTGTACCTAGACTGGAACTAGACTGGAGCTGGGCTGGAGCTGGGCTGGAGCTAGACTGGAGCTAGACTGGAGCTAGAGGGGGCTGGTGCTGGAGCTAGACTGGAGCTAGACTGGAGCTAGGCTGGAGTTAGGCTGGAGCTAGACAAGCTAGACTGGAGCTAGAGGGGGCTGGAGCTAGACTGGAGCTAGACTGGAGCTAGGCTAGAACTAGACTGGAGCTAGACTGGAGCTAGAGGGAGCTGGTGCTGGAGCTAGACTGGAGCTAGGCTGGAACTAGACTGGAGCTAGACTGGAGCTAGGCTGGAGCTATAAGGGGCTGGTGCAGTTAAGGATGCAATGCCTGCTCCTTCTGCGTATTCCAACTGAAGTTCATTTAAGCTCACCCCTCAAGGTTTTTGTATAAAACTCTCAAAATGACCGTTTATTGAGCGAGTACATGCATCGCTTCTCTCGAATCATATGACCACGTTCCAGCCATTTTTTTAAATGGGAACCGAGTTGACCAAGCTCTATGGTTGCTTGCAGTCCAATTCTGATATTTTTTTTCACAAATTGGTATTTTGACCAATCAGATCAGCTCTGAAAAATATATGATGTGAAAAAATCTGATGTGATTGGTCGAAATACCAATTAGTGGAAAAAGTGTTTGCAGTATCTCTCCTACTCGGCTCCTGGAGGCCCCTGGGTAGGAGACGGGTGTTGTTGTTTACTGATCCTGAGGGTGGTAAACACGTGGGGGATGTTTATCAGTAGGGGGAGGGATTACTGGAGGTAGTACAGTATACAGAGTTAATGGCCGTCTAAATCCAGCCCTAATCCGCCCGCCGACACACAGGGATGCTGTTTTGTACCCCTCTCACTCTCTGTCTCTCTCTCTCACACACACACAATTACACACACCCACACTCCATCTCTCTCTGTCTCTCTCTCTCACACACACACACACACACACACACACACACACACACACACACACACACACACACACACTCCATCTCCCTCTCTCTGTTTCTCTATTTATCTCTCTCTCCCTCTCTCCCTCCCTCCCTCTCTCTCTCTTTCCAACTCTCTCTCTCTCTGTTTCTTTTTCTATCTCTCTAAAAGTCCTGTTGTAGTTATTGATTTGATTCAATGAAGTGTGGAGACTAACAGTATGTCTATCTCCCTTTCTCTCTCTCTGTGCAGAGGTGGACATTGAAGGCATGGAGTCCCCCCTGGGCGAGGGTGAGCTTGGCGAGGGGGACAGCGTGGACGAGAGCATCAGCGACGACGGCCTCCTGGACGGCGAAGAGGAGGAGGAGGAGGAGGAGGAGGACTACAACCTGCAGAGCAGCTCCAGCGACGCCAGCTACACACAGCATTCCTCCCACAGACTGCAGCCGCACCATTGCTAGGGGCCACCAGAGGGCCCCTGAGGGCCACACCTCCAAACAGCCCTCTATAACCCCAGCCCCGGGTACCCCTCCTATTCCCTTCCTACCCCTCCCAACATTGCTCCAACACGCCCCCCCCCCCCCCCCCCCCCCCCCCCAGCCCACGCTACGCCGTCATCAGCCACCCCCCAGCAAATAGCGGCTGTGGTCCATCCTCCCCCGCCCATCCTCAACGTCCCCATTGGCACCAGGAAGTAGACTGTAGAGGTTCCTGTCGTGGCTGACTTCCTGACTTTCTCCTAACCCCTACACCACTCACCCTACCTCACCCCTATCCTATCACCCTTTATCCTCTGTCCCCCAGACCTCCCTCACCTCTACCTGTTGTTGTTGCCGCAGGCTCGGATATAGCAGAGCAGTTTGTGGTTTTGTTGGGGACCTCTGTGGTGTGGTGGCAGACAGCTTTGACTTGTCAATGGGAACTCAGCGTGTGTGTGTTTAACTGTGTGTGTTTGTGTGTTTGTGTGTGTGTGTGTGTGTCTGTGTGTGTGTGTACGAGGTATAGGATAGAACATTAGCTGGGGACAAACTTCAACTTCAACTCCGTCATTTGAATGAGGCACACACTTTCTGATGGAGAACAAATTATAATGTTCTATTGGAATGTTCAGTTGGAATGTTCTATTGGAACAATTCTCTTAATCTACAAACCCCAATCTGTGTTACCAAATGTACTGGACATTATCTGAGGGGTGAATATTTATAAGGGCAGCACATTGATACCTCCCTCTGGCTGAGTTCCCTAACCACTACTCCACACTACTGACCACGACACTATAAGTGTGTCTGAAATGGCGCCCTATTCCTTATATGGTGGAAGTGTCTGAAATGGTGCCCTATTCCTTATATGGTGGAAGTGTCTGAAATGGCACCCTATTCCTTATATGGTGGAAGTGTCTGAAATGGTGCCCTATTCCTTATATGGTGGAAGTGTCTGAAATGGCACCCTATTCCTTATATGGTGGAAGTGTCTGAAATGGTGCCCTATTCCTTATATGGTGGAAGTGTCTGAAATGGTGCCCTATTCCCTAAATATTCACACACATAGGTGCATCCCCAGAATCGAAAACCATACTTTACTTTACAGTAGCGTATTGATGTAGCAATAAAACATGGAAAGATACTGCTTTCTCAAGTATTTAAGCGATTCTGGTGGGTAAATTTTCGTCCCAAAATGGCGGCATGATTGCCCTCTTTTACTATGTTATAGAGGGTAACTGGGCATTTTGTAGGGGAAGACAGTGGATCAGCAGGATCAGGCTAACCGTTCTTGTTATTCACTAACAGATCCATTTACTTCCCCTGCTGTCATCAGTCTACTCCTAGTTCCAACACTGTTCTACGTGTGTGTGTGTGTGTGTATGCGTAAGTGTGTGTGTACACGGTCGGTACACATTGACAAGTCAAAGCTGTAGAAGTGCAAAAATAAATAATAAATAAAAAAATTACATTCTTGCCAGCTCTAATGATCAGCTCTCTGTAGAGGCATAGGTATCGCATCAAAACTAATCATAACAATGCTTTCATTTCTCTAACTCAAAAGTAGATTAATGTATTTTCTCTGCTATATCTGTTAGCTAGATACTACTTCTGAAGCTTTGGGGACACTGTAAAAGACCAATGTAATGTATTCTTAGAAATGTACAGCAGTGTCTCCATAGCGATGCACACTAGTATAAAATAATATTGACGGAAGAGGCAGATCTTTGGCCATCTGAACATTTAACCATTTAGGCCTGTTTTTCTCGTAATCCTTAGAGCTTGGCGTCCCAACACTTCAAAAAGGGCCAGTCCACAACTTGCCAGGTCTGACCAAAAAAAGAAAGAAAAAAAATCACAAAAGACTTAGAAAAAAGCTGCAATGAAAAAAAATAAGCTAGCTGTCACTGAAAGTGACAGTGTAGTCTATATTTTCTATTCTATTTTCCTAAATGTTCTCGTTTAACGAAAAGACAAAAAATAAGAGTATATCTATATAAATATATGACAGACAGACAGACAGAAGGCCAGGCTAGTTGAAGGTAGAGAGAGTGTAGAACGGGGAAGCTAGCAACCTGGCTGACCCTTTCTCTAGAACTCTCCCCGATGTCATTCTGTGCCTTGGTGACTGTTGTCGTGTGCCCCCTCCCTCCTCCTCCCTCCATCCCTACTCAGGTCTTGACCCTGCTACACACTCCCCGAACATCCACCACTTTGCCCCCCACCTCCACCCCTTTTCGGAGTTGATGAACACTTTGTTTTAACCCCTTCCACCCAATGCCAAATGGTGATGCTGACTCTTCCTTGAGTGAAGAAGGGGCACGTGAAGAACAGATTTTAGCCCCTTTTGCCTCCATCGAGTTCTCCTCAAGGTGTACCCCTGGTGCGGTTGCCAGGTACGCCCTACCCACTCGACGCCCGCCTGCCTGCCCTGCCACGCAGCTTAAAGTCAACACTGACCATACTGGTAACTCCTCATGGCAGCTTCCATTCACTCGCCCTGGCTGGTCATTATTGGGGTTCAATCAATCAACCTAATTGGGGGTTTCAAATGCTTATTTTGTTGTTGTGGCGGCCATTTGGTTTTGGCTCTGTTTATGAAATGCACTTGTTTTGAACAGGAAACCATTGGGAGAGGAGAAGGGAGGAGAAATCAAATCAATGAAGGCAGCTCGTGGTGTTCTCCTCCCTCGCTCCCTCCCTCCTCCCGGTGGCACCTTCCCTACTCTACTCTACTACCATAGTTTTACCGTGACCCTGGTGGTCATGGGGCATCTCGAAACACAGCAATATGACCATCTTGTGCTTTTTAAAGAGGAAGAGGGCGGTTGGTTGGTAGGCAGCGTTAGGTTTTAAAGAAGAAGAAAAAGCAGGATTCATGCTTTGACTCTGTGGTTCATTTTGTGACCAACTATGTTGTTAACATTTCTGTTGATGGATTTTACCTCTGAACTCTCTCCATACACTGAAGGAGGGCGAAAAGAAACAAACTAACTGAGGAAGATAATGTTCTTGAGTTTACATTCATGTCAAGGAACTATGTACATGACTGTTAGTAGTACAGATTTACGACTCTTTCAGTTTGTCGTTAAAATGAACAACTGAGTAAAACTTGTCAAATGAAAACGAAATATTCTCTTGCACAGAACCTCCCATCAGCTATTGTGAGGCAATGATTATGTAAACGGAACACACATGGGCCAGGTATGAAATTTCACATTTTCAACGACATCATTTTAAAATGCACATAGCGCACATTCAGAAGGAGCGAGTGGTTAGAGGGCTGGTATATTAGCAGGGGAGGATACTGATTCAGATACTGTTACAGATACTGTATGTAGGAGCAAAATAAGTTGAAAAGACGTTAAATAGACATATTTTTGGTTGAAAATACGTATTTTTGGTTGAAAATATGTCATTTTGGTTAAAAAAATGTATTTTTGGTTGAAAAATGTATTTTGGGTTGATAATAGGTCTTAATTGGTTGAAAAGGCATTGAAAATACCATGTCTTTTCAACGTCTTGTGCTCACTGGGTTTCAGGGATTAAGACTGCTGGATAGTGGTTATGGAATTTCTTTCAATGATGTGCCTTGAAAAGAACTTTATTTTCTTTTAACCAGAGAGATTGTACTTAGAGTGTGACAGACATTGTTGAGCAAATCACTTGGCGATAGGCTTTGAACACTAAATGTGTTGATTTGTGAATGAGTTTGGAAACACCTGGAAAAAGTGTTGATTAAAAGACAACTCTCAACCCTGTCACAATGCAAAACAACGTTATTGTAAAAGTAATCAATGGTGCTGTCCAACAAACTTCCTTTAAACGTCAGAGCAGAACTGAAATCTTGACAGCTATGAGAGCGAGAGAAAGAGAGAGGGTCGAGAGAGAGGGTCGACACACTTATCAATCAAAATGTGTTGACTTTTGTCGAAGCCGCATCTGCTCTGAGATTTATCCAAGCGTGTGTGATTTTTCCTCTCAAAGCACAAAAGCACAGCGTAATGATGATTGAGTTTGTCTGCCAGGCTATTGCTGCCAAGGGAGTCAGCAGGAGGGTGGAGGGAGGGAGGGAGGGGAGGGAGGGAGGGAGAGAGGTAAAATAAGGTTGAGGCTCAGACCAAACAAGCGAAGCCTGTATAGAGGCAAGGGAAAAGTCAACACACCCGGACATACACTCAAACCTGGGTTCAAATTTGATTTGATTTGATTTGCAACAGTATTGTGGAATCTCTCAAAACACTTTAGCTGTGTTTGATTGTGGCTGTCTGCCTGTTCCTAATGGAATGGGCCCAAAAGTGCAAACCCCACCCATCTGGCTGGCACTCCAGGCAGACGTAACAAGCAAAGTATTTGAAATCTTCCTATTTGAGCTCAGGTCTGACACACACAAAGTCACTTTCAGTGACAAATAGAAGCCATTCCTGTCTTACTGTCCTCTTCAAGTGCAGCGCTATGAACAAACAATCAAATAATGCCGTAAAGAAAACCAGATTCCTGCCAAATAACTAGTCACTTTGATTTTCTTTACACCCCCTTGCGGACAGTCATCAGGTACCTATGTAATTCCAGATGAAATCAGCTTTAATAGCAACATGAAATGTAGATTTTAGTTTAAGTGTATCATTGTCCCTCTATTTAATCCCTCACTAACCCTTTACTGTCTTTGCTGTTTCTTTCTGTGTGACATTGCGAGGGCACCGTCTGAAGACAGGAACGCTTTTTTCCTCCTTTATGTTAAGAGTTCTGGAGTTGTGCGATTGTTCTCTTGTTGTCGTCTTGTTGTCGAGTTGGCATGAGAGAACTCTTAGTCCCGAGGGTGTTGTGTGTCTCGGCGGTAGACAGTTTAGGGGCTCCGGAACATTGGCCAGAGGGGGGTTGGTTGAGATTAGATTCGGGGGGGATGAAGGGGTCTGAGGGGGCTTGGCATCGGAGTCAGGCAAAACACTGAGTAGGGAGAGTTCTGTGCCAGAGACCTGTGAATATGTTCCATTAATAGCAGATGTTGTAATATGCTTTCAGAAGATGTGCTATATTATATAAGTTACTATGTATGTATACATGAGTTTACCTGGTGCTGGATAACATTTTGGCACACACTTGAAGGTATTACTGTGTATTCTTTAATTGTAATATAATTAAAAAAATGTTTTTTACACAAGGTTGTCGCAGCCTTCTTATTTGCGTGATTTAAATAAATGTGTGTTTTAATATTTAAAGGGGATCTGAGGAGGTCTGGCTACCGTCTAGGTCAATGGAGGCTACTGATGGGACGAAGGCTCATAATAAGGGGTGGTGTGTTTGATGTATTTGATACCATTCCACAGATTCCGCTCCAGTCATTACCACGAGCCCATCCTCCCCAGTTAAGGTGCCACCAGCCTCCTGTGGTCTAGGCCAGCCATTTAAAATATTTGATGTATTTCTAACAGCCGCACACCGGAAACTAGTCAACTAATCAACAAGATGCTGTTAATTTGAATAAGGTGTGCTGGTGTTAAGATACACCATCATTATGGAACAATGAGGATTTGGCTGAGAAAGGCTGGTCCAGGCTGTTGTAAGTACTTGATTCAATATGAATTCAAATGATCCTATTACTATGCAATGATAAACACAGGAAGGTGAAGTGATATATGTAAAATAACCTCTGTAGCCTGGTGGAGACTGGAGAGAATGGCCAAACAGCAATAAAAAGGTCCAATGCAGCTGTTTTATCTTAATATCAAATTATTTCTGGGTAACAATTAAACTACCTTACTGCGAGTTTAATTAAAATGGTCAAACATAATAATAATTGCTTAGCAAAATGCAATAATTTTGCTTGGACTGTCTGGGAGTGGTCTAAAAGAGGGAGGAGCGTAATGGGAGGGATGTGTAACCTGAACTAGCTGCTATTGGCAGAGAGGAGGGCAACCTCTTTGTTATTGGTCTATTAACTTCTATCGCCTGGTGACGTCCCCAGGGGATCCAAAAACCTCACCCAGCCAAACAAGCTGACATTTCAGGCTGTCTTTTCAAACAGCTCTTATGCTAAAAGGGCATTATCATAATTTTCACAATTTCACAGTATTATTCCAAACTCCTAGAATGAATATATATATATATATAACAGGAAAATCACATTGACTGCACTGCCCCTTTAAATAGTTGGTTTGCTGAACTTCTACAGGCTTGTTTTAGGCCCCCTGTTGTCAGATTACTGAAACTGCAATAGCATCACAACTTTGGTTAAATGTACATAGGCACATGAAAAGTTACATCATTTCACGATAATGTGCAGTAGTTTAGTAAAAAATAACAACGCCTGAACCAAAACAAAATGAGAGAAACATAAGATTGATAAAGTTGTATACCAAATAACAATTAGAATCTGATTTTTATTTAAGTGCAGTATTCTTTCAATGATAAGACTTTCATGACAATCCTCTAGCCTAAAAATCATAATAGCTAGTTCTACCTTAAAAGGAATGCAGCAAAAATATTAAGAGACAGACAGACAGACAAATGTCGGACTAATACATTATTAATATACAATAAAACAAATTATATACAAATACTGTCCCTGGTAAATGTCAAATCAATTTCCTAATTTGATATGATATAGCTTGATATATCCAACAAATCAATCGTAGACCTCATTGACAAACGCAGTCGCACGACGCAGTTGAAGGGCAATACAATAATTACTAATTATTTATATTATGAGAAACTCTCAAACTCCAGCATACTACATCCAGTGTTGTGGAATTTATATTACTTCTTCAGATTGTCTTTGTACCTTTACTGTTATTTGGCATCTCTGATTTGTCACATTTGTTTTCACGTTTATGCATTTCAAAACAGGCCTCACTGACACAGTGCACAAGAGATAAATGTCCCAGAGCTTACACAAAAGACAGGGTCGTGTTCATTTGGGCACACCGTAGAAAAACATTTTGCAACAGAAAACAAAAACAAGTGTTTCTTATTGGATAAGTTCAGAAAGTACACTACATGACCAAAAGTATGTGGACACCTACTCGAAAATCTCATTCCAAAATCACTTAATATGGAGTTGGTCCCACCTTTGCTGCTATAACAGCCTCCACTCTTCTGGAAAGGCTTTCCACTAGATGTTGGAACATTGCAGTGGGGACTTGCTTCAATTCAGCCACAAGCATTAGTGAGGTCGGACACAGGTGTTGGGCAATTAGGCCTGGCTCGCAGTCAGCGTTCAAATTCATCCCAAAGGTGTTTGATGGGGTTGAGGTCAGGGCTCTGTGCAGGCCAATGAAGTTCTTCCACACCGATCTCGACAAACAATTTCTGTATGGACCTCGCTTTGTGCACGGGGGCATTTGTCATGTTGAAACAGGAAAGGGTCTTCCCCAAACTGTTGCCACAAAGTTGGAAGCATAGAATCGTCAAGAATGTCATTGCATGCTGTAGTGTTAAGATTTCCCTTCACTGGAACTAAGGGGCCTAACCCGAACCATGAAAAACAGCCCCAGACCATTATTCCTCCTCCACCAAACTTTACAGTTGGCACTATGCATTGGGGCAGGTAGCGTTCTCCTGGCATCCGCCAAACCCAGACTCGTCCGTCGGACATGGCGCATGGTGATCTTAGGCTTTTGTGCAGCTGCTCAGCCATGGAAACCCATTTCATGAAGCTCCCGACGAACAGTTCTTGTGCTGACGTTGCTTCCAGGGGCAGTTTGGAACTCGGTAGTGAGTGTTGCAACCAAGGACAGACGATCTTTACGCGCTACGCGCTTCCGCACTCGGTGGTCCCGTTCTGTGAGCTTATGTAGCCTACCACTTTGCGGCTGAGCTGTTGTTGCTCCTAGACGTTTCCACTTCACAATAACAGCACTTACAGTTGACAGGCGCAGCTCTAGCAGGGCAGAAATTTGACGAACTGACTTGATGGAAAGGTGACATCCTATGACGGTGCCACGTTGAAAGTCACTGAGCTCTTCAGTAAGGCCATTCTACTGCCAGTGTTTGTCTATGGAGATTGCATGGCTGTGTGCTCGATTTTATACACCTGTCAGCAACGGGTGTGGCTGAAATAGCCGAATCCACTAATTTGAAGGGGTGTCCACATACTTTTGTATATATAGTGTACCTCCCCATTTCAGAATCTGTTTCACTCAGTTTCAAAACATTTTCTTGCGTTTGGTGCCTATTGAACATGCCCCTAGGTGGTGGCAGGCTGTCACAGGGGCTCAGTACCTGAGACGTATTAATGCTAGGCTAATGAAGACAGGACAGAGTGACTGTAAGACAGCGCCTAACCCCAGAGGAACAGAGCCTAACCCCCAGAGGAACAGAGCCTAACCCCCAGAGGAACAGAGCCTAACCCCCAGAGGAACAGAGCCTAACCCCCAGAGGAACAGAGCCTAACCCCCAGAGGAACAGAGCCTAACCCCCAGAGGAACAGAGCCGTTAGTTAGTTAGTGGTTTAGATGGATATATATTATACAAACACTGTACAGTACAACAACAGACCTTGATCCCAGCAAGCTTCCAGTCAATGAAAAGGCAGCTAAGAGTGGGTGTGTGCATGCGCGTCCTTGCGTATGTGTCATAAGTTTACACTATGACAGTGTGTTTGTGTGTGTGTGTGTGTGTGTGTGTGGCTGCGTTTACACAGGCAGCTCAATTCTGATATTTTTCTTCACAAATTGGCCTGTGTGTTTCATGTGAATGTGTTGCTTGTGCCTGCCCTGCGTGCACAGAGTCCCATTCCAGTCCTGGTTCCAGCCGGTAGCGGTGGACGTTCCTGTTGTCACACGTACTGCTGGGGCTGTTTCTGTGGGGTGGCGGCCGAGGCCAGTGTCTTGGCCTTGTCTGTAGCAGTCTTCACTGTGTCCCGGACGCAGGGCTGACGCTGGGGTGCCTCTCCTGTGGGCAGAAGACCACAGAGATGTGGTGAGTATACAGTAAACTAACCAACTCGGTTCTAAAACTGGTGCTACCATGAATCCAAATGTGAACATGGAGTGAATGAATACAACTCCACATTACGTCAAGACTTGATATCCTGGATCTAAAAATGAACGTCATAAATTAACACTAAACTTCAACGTTGACCTTCATACTCATCCCCAGTGGCATTGAATTAGTAATTAAAAGTGTGTGTGTAATATATATATCTATATATATAATATGTAGGCTCGGCATTCTCTCTCTCTCTCTCACACAGTGTGTGTTTGGTTTTACTATCCTTGTGGGGACCAGAAGTCCTGTGGGGACCAGAAGTCCTTACAAGGATAGTAAAACAAGGGACATTTTGAATGGGAATACATGTTAAAACACATGTGTGTCTTTAGGCATGTGTGGGATTGACCTCTCCACAAACTCCCAGCCTTGAGTGTGACACAACAATACCAAAACCTTTCCTCCATCCATCCCCAGAGGTCTCCTAGTCAACACACTACCATCCCAGAGGTCTCCTGGTCAACAAACTACCATCCCCAGAGGTCTCCTGGTCAACACACTACTATCCCCAGAGGTCTCCTGGTCAACACACTACCATCCCCAGAGGTCTCCTAGTCAACACACTACCATCCCAGAGGTCTCCTGGTCAACACACTACTATCCCCAGAGGTCTCCTGGTCAACACACTACCATCCCCAGAGGTCTCCTGGTCAACACACTACCATCCCCAGAGGTCTCCTAGTCAACACACTACCATCCCAGAGGTCTCCTGGTCAACAAACTACCATCCCCAGAGGTCTCCTAGTCAACACACTACTATCCCCAGAGGTCTCCTGGTCAACACACTACTATCCCCAGAGGTCTCCTGGTCAACACACACTACCATCCCAGAGGTCTCCTGGTCAACACACTACCATCCCCAGAGGTCTCCTATTCAAGACACTACCATCCCCAGAGGTCTCCTAGTCAACACAGACTACCATCCCCATAGGTCTCCTAGTCAACACAGACTACCATCCCCATAGGTCTCCTAGTCAACACAGACTACCATCCCCATAGGTCTCCTGGTCAATACAGACTACTATCCCCAGAGGTCTCCTAGTCAACACAGACTACCATCCCCATAGGTCTCCTAGTCAACACAGACTACCATCCCCATAGGTCTCCTAGTCAACACACTACCATCCCCAGAGGTCTCCTAGTCAACACACTACCATCCCAGAGGTCTCCTGGTCAACAAACTACCATCCCCAGAGGTCTCCTAGTCAACACACTACTATCCCCAGAGGTCTCCTGGTCAACACACTACCATCCCCAGAGGTCTCCTGGTCAACACACTACCATCCCCAGAGGTCTCCTAGTCAAGACACTACCATCCCCAGAGGTCTCCTAGTCAACACAGACTACCATCCCCATAGGTCTCCTAGTCAACACAGACTACCATCCCCATAGGTCTCCTAGTCAACACAGACTACCATCCCCATAGGTCTCCTGGTCAATACAGACTACTATCCCCATAGGTCTCCTGGTCAATACAGACTACTATCCCCATAGGTCTCCTGGTCAACAAACTACCATCCCCAGAGGTCTCCTAGTCAACACACTACTATCCCCAGAGGTCTCCTGGTCAACACACTACCATTCCCAGAGGTCTCCTGGTCAACACACTACCATCCCCAGAGGTCTCCTAGTCAACACAGACTACCATCCCCAGAGGTCTCCTAGTCAACACAGACTACCATCCCCATAGGTCTCCTGGTCAATACAGACTACTATCCCCATAGGTCTCCTGGTCAATACAGACTACTATCCTCATAGGTCTCCTAGTCAATACAGACTACTATCCCCATAGGTCTCCTGGTCAACAAACTACCATCCCCAGAGGTCTCCTAGTCAACACACTACTATCCCCAGAGGTCTCCTGGTCAACACACTACCATTCCCAGAGGTCTCCTGGTCAACACACTACCATCCCCAGAGGTCTCCTAGTCAAGACACTACCATCCCCAGAGGTCTCCTAGTCAACACAGACTACCATCCCCATAGGTCTCCTGGTCAATACAGACTACTATCCCCATAGGTCTCCTGGTCAATACAGACTACTATCCTCATAGGTCTCCTGGTCAATACAGACTACTATCCCCATAGGTCTCCTGGTCAACACACTACTATCCCCAGAGGTCCTAATCAACACACACTACCACCGTCACAACACAGAGTGAACACTGAGACCATCCAAATGCTTCTAACAGAGATACTTCAAACATCTGTGGGAAATATTTAGACTGTGTCAGAGAGGAGCCAATCTTGGAGTGGTTGCTGAGGCTGAGAGACCCTATCTAGAGCGATCAGTAGGGAGGCGAGGGAGAAAGAGACACACACACAGACACAGACACAGACACACACACACACACACACACACACACACACACACACACACACACACACGGCAGGCACAATGGATCCAGGCAGACAGGCCAAGGAAGACGAAGATGAAAGTTAGGGAAAGAGATCCAGAGAGGGTGAGAGAAAGACACTCAGAAAAGGGTGCGAGGGACTCCAGAAAGAGAGACCTAGACAGTGTCTTGGTCAGTGAGTCGGTCAGGCCCACTGAGTCTGGCCAGCCTCCGGTCTCCAGGACATGGGGTCAGTGGCAGCATAGAGTGACGTGGCCCAGTGGAACCTTAGAGCAGGGGACAAACTGTACTGAGAACAGAGATAAGGAGAGAGGGGGCAGAGAGGAGGAGGAGGCTATAGTAACTGTTCTGGGAACAGAGACAAGGAGAGAGGGGACAGAGAGGAGGAGGCTATAGTAACTGTTCTGGGAACAGGGACAAGGAGAGAGGGGACAGAGAGGAGGAGGAGGAGGCTATAGTAACTGTACTGGGAACAGGGACAAGGAGAGGGGGGACAGAGAGGAGGAGGGGGCTACAGTAACTGTACTGGGAACAGTTTCAGATCTGAAAAGACTAGGGGACTGTACGCTCTCAAAGGGCATTAGTTGAGTCACTCTGTTGTTGCAAGATGTGTTCTATGCTAGGCTAGGGTCTGGCTAAGACTTAATGGAACCACATATACTATTCTACTACAAATAGATAGTAAGATAACAGGGGAAAACTATGACAAAACCCACTCTCTGCTCCCTCCGTCTCCCCGAGTGAACCCAGCCCAGCTGCAGGTCTGGAGCCACTGACCAGAACAGCCACAGCCCTGGTCCCTTCCCAGGGCCGGCTGCCTTGGCTGACCCCCAGAGCACCCTCTCTCTGGGGGGGGTAGGAGGCTTCTGAGGCCTCCATACAAAGCCACATCTTTACTCTCAGCTCAGCCCTCGCTCCCTCCCTCTCTCTTCACTTCTCTTTCTCGGCCGCTGTCTCGAACCTCACGGCTGGAGACGCAGGCAGGAGGGAAGATTAGTCGCTTCCACACACGTAGATGCACAGTCGGATAGTCTCTAGCACACACCAACAGATATACGTGCATTCTCACACACTCCATTATGAATAAAACCCCTTTGATGTTGGCCAACGACAGCGGGAGGTTGTCCTGGTTGTTTCTACCACACTGTCTGTGTCTGAAATGGCACCCTACTCCCTATGGACACCGGTCAAAAGTAGTGCACTACATAGGGGATAGGGTGACATTCCGGACGCACCTGACTTTGATCAAACCTTCTTGAATATCTGGTATGCTCATTTGACGAAGTTCTCTCAGTTTTGTATCATCCTTGTTCTGACTCCTTTCCCAGTACTGGAGCTCCTATCTAGCTGGCGGTGTGTATCGGTTACGGCCGCTCGTGTGGCGGCAGTGGAGCCCAATTAACTGAAAAGTCAGGCACAGTGGGAAGCTGGGGAGGCAGAGCGGTGCGCAAAGTGTTAAGATGAAAGGGACCTTGCAAAGCTTTAGAAGCTAGGAACTATGTGGGGGAATGGTATGGCAGGGGGTCTGCACCCGGAGGTAATATTATATTCTCCAAGTAAGTTAATTAATAAAAAGCGTGTAACTAGAAAATGTCCTTTGTTCACGTCGCCTGAACAGGATAATTAAATATCACAGAAGCTACATCAAATCAATTTAAGAGTGGAAGATTATGTGAATCATAACTTTAGGTATGTGTGGGCTAAACTACATTTTTCATGAGAAAAGAAAATCCCCCTTGACATTCATCTGAAGTTAGGATTCATTCAGCCTACATACACTTGCATCAACCGGGGCAAAATGACGGTACACAGTGTACAAAACATTAGGAACACCCACTCTTTCCATGACAGACTGACCAGGTCAAAGCTATGATCCCTTATTGATCACCTGTTAAATCCACTTCAAATCAGTGTACATGAAGGGGAGGAGACAGGTTAAAGAAGGACTTTTAAGCCTTGATACAATTGAGACATGGATTGAGTATGTGTGCCATTCAGAGGGTGAATGGGCAAGACAAAAGATTTAAGTGCCTTTGAACGGGGTATGGTAGTAGGTGCCAGGCACACCGGTTTGAGTGTGTCAAGAACTGCAACGCTGCTGGGTTTTACACACTCAACTATTTGCATTGGAGTCAACATGGGCCAGCATCCCTGTGGAACGCTTTCGACACCTTGTAGTCCATGACCCGACGAATTGAGACTGTTCTGAGGGCACAAGGGGATTCAACTCAATATTAGGAAGGTGTTCCTAATGTTTTGTACACTCAGTGGCTATAGTATTTGCAGCAGCTACATACAGATAACCACAGAAACACAATACAGGATCTAATGCTCTAGAATAGCTGGTCATGTCTGTCCACATTGATGCCAAAGGGAATCATGACTGTATTGTTCCTCAACTACTGTGGATACTAGAGATTGTTCTAGAAATGGCTGCTAATGGCTACAGAGGCTACTACCAGACATGCATTTGACATCATCCCCCAGCAAGGGGTTGGGACGGGGGGGTGTCACAGACGCATGGCTCAGATCCAATATCCTCAACGTGACCAAGACAAAGGAGATGATTGTGGACTACAGGAAAAAAAAAGAGGACTGAGCACGCCCCCATTCTCATCGACGGGGCTGTAGTGGAACAGGTTGAGAGCTTCAAGTTCCTTGGTGTCCACATCACCAACGAACTATCATGGTCCAAACACACCAAGACAGTCGTGAAGAGGGCACGACAAAGCCTATTCCCCCTCAGGAGACTAAAAAGATTTGGCATGGGTCCTCAGATCCTCAAAAAATTCTACAGCTGCACCATCGAGAGCATCCTGACTGGTTGCATCACCGCCTGGTATGGCAACTGCTTGGCCTCTGACCGCAAGGCACTACAGAGGGTAGTGCGTACGGCCCAGTACATCACTGGGGCAAAGCTCCCTGCCATCCAGGACCTCTATACCAGGCGGTGTCAGAGGAAGGCCCTCAAAATTGTCAAAGACTCCAGTCACCCTAGTCATAGACTGTTCTCTCTGCTACCGCACGGCAAGCGGTACCGGAGTGCCAAGTCTAGGTCCAAAAGACTTCTCAACAGCTTCTACCCCCAAGCCATAAGACTCCTGAACAGCTAATCATGGCTACCCGGACTATTTGCACTGCCCCCCCACCCCATCCTTTTTACGCTGCTGCTACTCTGTTAAGTATTTATGCATAGTCACTTTAACTCTACCCACATGTACATATTACCTCAACTACCTCAACTAGCCGGTGCCCCCGCACATTGACTATGCAACGGTACCCCCCTGTATATATAGCCTCCCTACTGTCACTTTATTCTATTGTATATATAGCCTCCCTACTGTCACTTTATTTTTTACTTCTGCTCTTTTTTTCTCAACACTTTTTTTGTTGTTGTTTTATTCTTACTTTTTTGTTTAAAATAAATGCACTGTTGGTTAAGGGCTGTAAGTAAGCATTTCACTGTAATGTCTGCACCTGTTGTATTCGGCGCATGTGACCAATAAAATTTGATTTGATTTGATTTGATTTAAAGCATACTGTTTAGGATAAAGCTACAGTTGTGTCTGAAATGGCATCCACTATATAGTGCAGTGCACTACTATTGACCAGGGCCCATAGGGCTAAAGTAGTGCACTAGATAGGGCACAGGGTGCCATTTCAGACACAGTCTATGTATTGGACAAGTGGTACACTAGTTTGGATGTTGGAACGTAGCCATACCGTCACCATAGTGACAGACCCTAGTACTGTACTGACCACCACAATAAGCCTGAGATCTAGTCCAGCCATCGTGACAGACCCTAGTACTGTACTGACCATCACAATAAGCCTGAGGCCTAGGCCAGCCATAGTGACAGACCCCAGTAGTGTACTGACCATCACAATAAACCTGAGACCTAGTCCAGCCATAGTGACAGACCCTAGTACTGTACTGACCATCACAATAAGCCTGAGGCCTAGGCCAGCCATAGTGACAGACCCTAGTACTGTACTGACCATCACAATAAACCTGAGACCTAGTCCAGCCATAGTGACAGACCCCAGTACTGTACTGACCATCACAATAAACCTGAGGCCTAGTCCAGCCATAGTGACAGACCCCAGTACTGTACTTACCACCACAATAAGCCTGAGGCCTAGTCCAGCTGTAGTGACGGCATGATGCACACAGACAGAGGGGACAAAGACAACAATGGAAATATGTCCTATAGGTCTTTTAAAAGTGTGTGTGTGTGTGTCTGTCTGTCTAGTCTGCTGCCTCAGCGTGACACTAGGACAATGTCAGACAGAACACAGACCTCTTCACCGTCATGGTTACCATCGCCATTGCCAAACATTGGACAGCTGTGATTGATCTGTTATGAACTGATGGTTGAAGACATACAGTACATTCAGAAATTATTCACACCCCTTGGCTTGTTCCAAATGGTGTGTTACAGCCTGAATTTCAAATCTATTAAATTGAGATTTTGTTACACTGGCCTACACACAATACCCCATAATGTCAAAGAGGAATTACATTTATCGAAATTTTTTCAAATTAAGAAAAAATGAAAAGCTGAAATGTCTTGAGTCTAAGTATTCAAACCCTTTTATGGCAAGCCTAAATAAGTTCAGGAGTAAAAATGTGCTTAACAAGTCATACAATAAGTTGCATGGACTCACTCTTTGTGCAATAAATGTTTAACATGATTTTTGAATGACTACCTCATCTCTGTACCCCACACATACAATTATCTTCAAGGTCCCTCAGTCGAGCAGTGAATTTCAAACATGGATTCAACCACAAAGACCAGGAATTTTTTCCAATGCCTCGCAAAGAAGGGCACCTATTGGTAGACGGGTAATAATACAAGCAGACATTGAATATCCTTTTGAGCATGGTGAAGTTATTAATTACACTTTGGATGGTGCATCAATACATCCAGTCACTACAAAGATACAGCCGTTCTTCCTAACTCAGTTGCCGGAGAGGAAGGAAACCGCTCTGGGATTTCACCATGGTTACAGAGCTTAATGGCTGTGATATGAGAAAACTGAGGATGGATCAACAACATTGTAGTTTCTCCACAATACTAACCTAAATGAGAGTGAAAAGCAGGTAGCCTGTACAGAATACAACAAGGCACTACAGTAATACTGCAAAAAATGTGGCAAAGCAATTAACTTTTTGTCCTGAATACACAGTGTTATGTTTGGGGCAAATCCAATACAACACATTACTGAGTACCACTCTCCATATGTTCAAGCATTGTGGTGGCTGCATCATGTTATGGGTATGCTTGTAATCGCTAACAACTGGGGAGTTTTTCAGGATTAAAAAAATTAACTGAATGGAGCTAAGCACAGGCAAAATCCTAGAGGAAAACCTGGTTCAGTCTGCTATGCACCAGTCACTGGGAGATGAATTCACCTTTCAGCAGGACAATAACCTAAAACACAACGCCAAATTCTACACTGGAGTTGCTTACCAAGAAGCCAGTGAATGTTCCTGAGTGGCCAAGTTACAGTTTTGACTTAAATCTACGGCGAGACCTGAAAATGGTCAACAACTAATTTGACAGAGCTTGAAGAATTTTGAAAATAATAAATGGGCAAATGTTGCACAATCCAGGTGTGGAAAGCTCTTAGTGACTTACCCAGAAAGACTCACAGCTGTAATCACTGCCGAAAGGTGCTTCTACAAAGTATTGACTCAGAGGTGTGAATACTTAAGTAAATTAGATATTTCTGTATTTCATTTTTTATAAATTAGCTAAAATTTCTAAAAACATGTCTTCACTTTGTCATTATGGGGTATTGTGTGTAAATGGGTGAGGATATTGTTTTATTTAATCCATTTTGAATTCAGGCTGTAACACAACAAAATGTGGAATAAGTCAAAGGGGTAATTCATACTTTCTGAAGGCACTGTAGGCATATGGTGCAGTCACGCAATGCAACGTGTGGGACAAAACACTGGTCTGTGACTATACGGCTTCAGCTAGTCACATGGGATGTTTTCAGCCTCTGAACATAGACAGATAAACGGTTGAATCGGTGGATCATTGAATCAACCAGCCTTGTTCAATAAGGAGAGTGGGAACTTGTATATGTCTATCTTTAGGGAGGGCGAGACGAGAAAATGGCCATACTCAGACATGCAGTAAATCAGTAATCATTATCATCATATACTCGGCGAAGGACTTCGAGAGACGCGTCCGTCTGGCGATGCAATCACGGCCTGATTATCCACGGACGATTGTGGGTGTGGTGTGTGTGTGTTACACTTCCAGGGGAGAGAGATCTGGCGTCTGCTCACCCAAAGGCATGATGGGAGGGTTAGTGCTAAGAGTTGATTGGTGGGTGGGAGCTGTGATTAATTTCACAACTTCACTTCAGACCACGACAATCAGCCATGAGGAGACTTTGGCAGACTTCTTGGTACTTTGTGTAATGTGGAAAATATGACGGAAAGCACCAATCTCCCCAAAATATAACTTTTTCCCTCTAAAAGTTTGCCCATCGCCTCCAACCCCCCCCCCAGAAATAAAGTTGTTTGGTTTCCTGCTTCTCCTACTTCAGTACCTACCGTGTAAGTTAGACAGAGCGTACTCCAGGCCCTTCATGGCCTTCACCTGGTTGCTCTTGAAGCGGGCCAAGCCAAACTCCTGGGAAACAGAACAGACGGACATGGCAGGAAACAGCAGGGTTTCAATTGGGAGACATGAGAACAACAGCAGTGTACTTTTACCCTCTCTTTCTTTCTTTCTCCCTCCCTCCCTCCCTCCCTCTCCTTCCATCTAGCTCTCTCTTTCCCTTCATCTCTACTTCTCTCTCTTTCATCTCTCTCTCCCTCCCTTTCTCTCTCTAGGGGCAGTCGAGCCTGGCACACACTGCTAAAAACAACAATAACAACAACAATAATAGGCTAAAATAAATAGGCATTTTTTCTATTCTTGCTCTTTTCCAACTCCTGGTGGAAGATGACTATTTCTTTGTTTTGGCATCTGCAGACACTGGCTTCCACGCTTTTACTCTTTTGTGCTATTGCTCGACCCTATAAACCCTCTGTGTGTGTGTGTGTGTGTGTGTGTGTGTGTGTGTGTGTGTGAGTGAGAGAGAGAGAGACAGACAGAATGCCTAGCTTGCTGAGCTGGAAAATACTTATGTGGGCCTCCCTTTTAGATTTGTCGACCAACTATCTGGGTCGAACTGAAGGGAAAATATGTTTTTCAACTCAGACTGACAAAAAAAAGAAAAAAAAAGGGCTTTTGTTATAGATGGATTACATACATATGTTCTCATAGGTGTCCAGCAACGACCGCAAGCAGATCCTTCAAATTGATTTCCCAGGCTACAAATCCAAATGTACTGCTGCTCTGCAGCTATTCAATATCTGCTCCCATTAAATCAGTCATGACTTTGGTGATGAAAAGGGGTAGTCTGTCCTGAGGTAAACTGGAGGTGAACTGGAGGTGAGGTACTAAAAATATGTTGCTGTAGTGTAGTGGTCCTCTGAGCCTCATATACATGTATTCAATATCCATCAGACCTGGGTTCAAATTGTATTTGTTATCCATTCAAATATTTTAGCTGCACTTGTTTGAGCTTGATTGGCGCAATGTCACCAATGGAGTAGTCCTAAAAGTGCAAACCACACTCATTTGGCACCCCAGTCAGGCTCAATCAAACTCTCAAAGTATTTGAAAGAAAGCAAATACTATTTGAACCCAGGTCTGCTTCGAATACATTACTTTAGTCCTGGATGTAGACTATCCCTACAGGGAGACCGTGTGGTGCTCTGGTGTGTTATCCTATAGCTGTTCTGGGGCTGTACTGTATTCTGTTGTGCAGGGGCTGTTCTGTACTGTGCTGTTCTGTACTACATCTGTGCTGTACCTGGATGGGCCTGGAGAAGCCGTAGACTCCAGAAGAGATCCAAGCCTCTCGTCTGAGCAGCGTGAAGGCAGGCCGGTCCTCTGACTCCTGGAACACACAACGCTCCTCCACCGTCTAGGAAAGAAAGGAGGAAGGGATGGAAGGAGGAAGGGATGGAAGGAGGAAGGGATGGAAGGAGGAAGGGATGGAAGGAGGAAGGGATGGAAGGAGGAAGGGATGGAAGGAGGAAGGGATGGAAGGAGGAAGGGATGGAAGGAGGAAGGTGAGAGGAGAGAGAGAAGGGGAGAGAGAGAGAAGGGGAGAGGGAAGGGGAGAGAAGGAGAGAGAGAACGGTAGAGGAGAGGTGTTAATCTGGTGGTGTTGGTTTGCTGCCCTCGACTATAGGACACAATACATAAAGAACAAGCAAACAACTTCAATGCAAAGTGAATGAAGAACCCAAGTTATCAAGTCCACTTTACTTTGGGTAACCGGTTGCATGCGATGATAGTAATAACAACAGTGTTTTGGAAGACTCTGACATTTTCTTCCGAAATCTGATCTTGGAGATAATTACAAAGTTGTTCCATCTGTCTAGTGCTATGAGTCATCCTCTTCTTCCACCGGCGTCAAGTGGAATCAAAACAGAGCGCACGCTAGCACGTCGCCACAATGCTTTGTGTTAACTAGACGGCGGGTATAATCTGGTGGGGGGGGTGTGTGTGATTTTGTGTGTGTGTGTGAGAGTGTGTGTGTCTTATGGTGCTCATCTATCAAGTTGACAGCACCATATATCTTGATAGAGATATATATCACTCTATCAAGATTTATGGTGCACACACACCATATAAAAGGTGGTTTGGGTGACTAGCAGAGAGGAGCATGAGGTACATACAGTTGAAGTTGGAAGTTTACATACACTTAGGTTGGAGTCATTAAAACTTGTTTTTCAACCACTCCACACATTTCTTGTTAACAAACTATAGTTTTGGCAAGTCGGTTAGGACATCTACTTTGAGTATGACACAAGTCATTTTTCCAACAATTGTTTACAGACAGATTATTTCACTTATAATTCACTGTATCACAATTCCAGTGGGTCAGAAGTTTACATACACTAAGTTGACTGTGCCTTTAAACAGCTTGGAAAATTACAGAAAATGATATCATGGCTTTAGAAGCTTCTGATAGGCTAATTGACATCATTTGAGTCAATTGGAGGTGTACCTGTGGATGTATTTCAAGGCCTACCTTCAAACTCAGTGCCTCTTTGCTTGACATCATGGGAAAATCAAAATAAAATCAGCCAAGACCTCAGAAATAAAATTGTAGACCTCCACAAATTTGGTTCATCTTTGGGAGCAATTTCCAAACGCCTGAAGGTACCACGTTCATCTGTACAAACAATAGTACGCAAGTATAAACACTATGGGACCACGCAGCCGTCATACCGCTCAGGAAGGAGACCCGTTCTGTCTCCTATAGATGAACGTACTTTGGTGCGAAATGTGCAAATCAATCCCAGAACAACAGCAAAGGACCTTGTGAAGATGCTGGAGGAAACAGGTACAAAGGTTTCTATATTCACAGTAAAACAAGTCCTATATCGACATAACCTGAAAGGCTGCTCAGCAAGGAAGAAGCCACTGCTCCAAAACCGCCATAAAAAAGCCAGACTACGGTTTGCAACTGCACATGGGGACAAAGATCGTACTTTTTGGAGAAATGTCCTCTGGTCTGATGAAACAAAAATATAACTGTTTGGCCATAATGATCATTGTTATGTTTGGAGGAAAAAGGGGTAGGCTTGCAAGCCGAAGAACACCATCCCAACCGTGAAGCACGGGGGTGGCAGCATCATGCTGTGGGGGTGCTTTGCTGCAGGAGGGACTGGTGCACTTCACAAAACAGATGGCATCATGAGAAAGGAAAATTATGTGGATATATTGAAGCAACATCTCAAGACATCAGTCAGGAAGTTAAAGCTTGGTCGCAAATGGGTCTTCCAAATGGACAATAACCCCAAGCATACTTCCAAAGTTGTGGCAAAATGGCTTAAGGACAACAAAGTAAAGGTATTGGAGTGGCCATCACAAAGCCCTGACCTCAATCCTATAGAAAATGTGTGGGCAGAACTGAAAAAGCATGTGCGAGCAAGGAGGCCTACAAACCTGACTCAGTTACACCAGCTCTGTCAGGAGGAATGGGCCAAAATTCACCCAACTTATTGTGGGAAGCTTGTGGAAGGCTACCCGAAACGTTTGACCCAAGTTAAACAATTTAAAGGCAATGCTACCAAATACTAATTGAGTGTATGTAAACTTCTGACCCACTGGGAATGTGATGAAAGAAGTAAAAGCTGTAATAAATAATTATCTCTACTATTATTCTGACATTTCACATTCTTAAAATAAAGTTGTGATCCTAAATGACCTAAGAAAGGGAATTTTTACTAGGATTAAATGTAAGGAATTGTGGAAAACTGAGTTTATATGTATTTGGCTAAGGTGTATGTAAACTTCCGACTTCAACTGTAGGTGTCTAGCCCCTTCCGTTTCGCAGGCTGTTTCCTTATGGTGTCAACAGTTTTGAATTTAACCACACCACAGAGCGTCAAGTGTTGGCGATCTTGAGATGAATACATAGTGGGAAGGGGATGGTGAATGTCTTGCTTGAATCATACAACTATATCTGTATGATTGTAGTGTAGGTGTAGTTGACATTGACCAGGTATGGTGAGATAAAGTGTCTCATTTCGTCTCTCACATAAAAGCCTTGTTCTATTGCTAACCGTAGAACGGAGTGTGAACTCTGACTCTCGTAGAGATTTGAGATGTAAACCATGAGATATCCACCCACCCTGCTGACTCAACAAAGGAGGTTACACAACTTCATATCTTTCTCATCCAACAAACCAGGTCCCTGAGAAACAGAAAACCATCAACAATACATTTCATGTCTGGGTCTCTTTAGTCAAGGGTTTACCAGTCTGAACCAATACCCAGCCAGACTGCAGAAATTGTGCAGAAGATTTATTTTTTGAGACATTACAAATGATATACAATGGAAAACGTTGTGGGTTTCCGCATGAAGGAATTTCTCTGGAAAACAGTGTATTCATTGTGCTGTAGGCTTGGATACCGTCGGTTGCTATAGAAAACAAACAAGTTCGACCAGTAAACAAGCCAGTGTCTCAGGGGGGCGGGGCAACGCAGAGGGCACTTTCTTGGAAATGTCTAGGGTCTTGTGGCTGTAATATAGGTCAACCACTGGAGGTCATGAAGGGTCAGATACCGACCTAGTCTAAACCGTTGAGGAAAAAAAAATTTCATTCCGTATCTAAGATATGCAATAATAACTCATTTTATTTGGACAGACGTTTTCATGTAGACGTACATCTCAAAGTCTCTGTTCAATAGTAGACTATGTGCTAATATGTAGATACATTCTTATCTTAGTCAGTACTAATTATGTCAGGGTTTCCTTCTTTTTTTTTGCAGTGGCAGCCACGACTTAAGAAATGCAATAGGGGAAACACAGTGTGTTCACTGCGTGTGAAAGTGTTCCCTGTTTCTGTGGTGGTGGCGGGGGTACTGATACCATCTCCTAATGATAGAACACTTATTTCTAAGAAATACAAGATACTCCATTGCGTTGAGTCAGTGTACTGTAAAAAGACATGACCGTCAACCAACCTAGCAAAACATATACAGAAACCTACACGTACTAACACAAACACATGCATGAGCATCAAACCCACATGTTTGGTGTTGCAAGCACCATGCTCCACCCACTTAGCTATGGGAACCAGTATCGCTGAATTCCAAATTGACGCCTAGCCCCTACTACCTAGCCACTTCTTGGTGTAGGGGCTAGGGGTTGATTTGGAATGGAGCATATGTTGGGGTGTACCTCACCATGAGCGTAGTGTGGTTGAGGTTCCAGGTGTACGTGGTGAGGCTCTTGGTGACCGGGTCCACGACGGAGTCCTCTACGATGTAGACGGAGCGTGATAGGTTGGAGGGGAAGAGGAACTCAGCCCAGCGAGGCATTCGATTGGTCTTGGTGAGCAGGCGTCTGGAGAGAAGCTGCTGGTCTGCCGTCACCTCCCGGAACACCACGTCCTCCGTGAGAACATGGGTGCTGATGTACGGGAACACACACAATGTTTGCGGTATGCTATCAGTTGGTCCAATAACTAGTTGTTCTGACAACTGAAAACGACATTTAACATATTTTCACGCCACTTGACATACTCCACATACAAATTTTAACATTGTCAGTTCTTATGAATTTAACCTGCTAAATAGTTGCAGATTTGTACATTTCAAGTACTTTAATAGCTATCGAATGCAAACCTTGAATCGAGTACTCAGGTACTCGACCCATCCCTACTTTAGGACACGCAATAAAAGGAAAGATGGTTGGGTTAAATACAGAGCAGATATTAATACAAACCAAATTAAGCACTTGACTGACTGAGCAACTTCCTTCTGATCTGACAAAGCTGGTATCACTTCTCTACTGTGATCATACTCAGTTCTCCATCTTAATAAAATCCTCTCACTGTTGTTTTCTAAACTCTGATCTGTAACAGCGTCAGATACCATCATCTCACTGTGATTGGGAGTAGGGCAATTCCACAGTAACATAATGATGCTGAGACTCAGAATGTATATCAAACAAAAACCACTGATTGCAAAGTTAAACAAACCATTCAACTATGCATAAGGACTACTTTTAACAATTACCACTGAAAATTATTTATTTTTTAAAACAAATTTGCTTAAACAGTGCAGATGCAAAGTTTGGCTATAGAATGACGGTTTGTGCCATTTGTGCAAATTCACATTCACAGCTGATAGTAGGAGAGAGCAGACAGGTTTCCGATGGGTCTGGAGTTTGTTACTCAATGGAAAATAGGCATATCCCGTCCCTCTCCTACTAGATGCACATCTCACCAAATCATAGAGGCATCCACCATAAAATGAGGGTCATTGTGAGGTCCTGTACCTGAATGGGTTGGGATACCGCTGCCAGAAGGCAGAGACGACATGGTCCCACGTGGTCCTGATGTCTACGTCGTTAGAGAAGTACTTGACCATTCTCCCCCTGCCTGCCGATGTGCAGGCTGTTGGTCTGAACACTGACTTCTTCTGATTGTCCTGTCTGTGATAAAACTATGCTGGGTGCTCTCAGATGCTGCTGACTCCATCCACACCTGACCCACACACTCAACCCTGCTGAGGAAGAGAGGTGGAGGGAGGGAGAGAGAGGGGTATTTCAGGATAACAGGTATAATAGGACTGAGACCTTTATGTAGGTCGGATAACATCAGATACTGTATGTGTTCAACACAGAACCAAAAGGTATGTTGCTATGACATCAGATATGTGTTCAAAACAGAACCAAAAGGTATTTGCTATGCTCTAGGTTTGTAGCTACAGCACTCAATGGTTATTATGTGCAGCTTCCATCATTTAGCAGACAATCTTATCCAGTGTGACTTACATGAGAAATTTGAGCTCACATCGACAGATTTTTCACAGTCGGTTCGGGGATTCGAACCACTGACCCAATGCGCTTAACCGTTAGGCTACCTGCTGCCCCAGTCCCACAAAATAGGATGTGTACTGTGTAAATGTAGCTAGCTTAGTATCTACTGACAGCTAGGTCAAATACACACAGGCATCCTACGGATTTAGAGTAGTACGCCATGTGGGGTATCGCCATTCGCTTTACTAGACCGGTCACAAATTCAGTCACATACCGTACAAGAGGAGAAAGAACATTGCTCAGGTTGCGACATGTGACAGTAGTGACGTCAGATGACGATGGGCACAAGGCTGGAGTCGTGACTAGTTACCACAGCTACAAAGTCATAAACTAAACTCCACCTAATCATACAATTTATATTCTTAAAATCTGATTTTAAACATAAGCTTTACCCTAAACTTAAACACACTGCTAAACTTATGCCTAACCTTAAATTAAAAGACCAAAAAGCACATTTTTGTTTTCATTATAGCCAATTTTGACTTTGTGGCTGTGGATACTAGTGACAACCATCAAAATGCTAATTTAATCGAAAAAGCATACCGGTTTTGAAATGAATGTTGTTCTATGAATAACTAGCTACATTTCCAAGCACATAACTACATTGTACTTGTCTAGATTGCGCGTGCTGGTCTTTGTGGAACATGTCACCTTGACTTAGAACTGTGTCTGAACTGAAGTGGCATGGCTCGATCGTGCTATCAAGTAAGCTAGCTGGCAAAGACACTCAATCCATGCATGATTATGAAGGATATTAGCTAGCTAGTAATTAGCTACTATACGGGTTTGTCTAGCTTACTGACATCATTTTAGCAGTTTCACATGATGAAATGTAGCAATCATTATTGTTACTTGTTAGCATGAGTAGCTAGCTAGCTAATTCCTCAAAATACAGATTCTATCAAGCTAACAAGTTATCAAACTGTACTGGACTATGGCAAGTATTTACTGTTATAACTAGTTAATAAACATGTTCACATACCTGATATACTATCGCAGCATTTGAGGGGATTTTCAGTGCACCAGTAGCTAGATTCCCTCAGTCATGTTCCCTATTTTGATAGTAGCATAACAGCAGTCGTCATTGAATCGGAAGTGGCCTAGTCCAAAAATGGCATGTGTAGTATCCAACAATGCACTGCTTTATCATGAATATTCATGACATGACTACAACTCTCTTCTTCTATTGACCTTAATTGGTGAAAACCACGCCCATGAAGAGACATTATCATGCTGTATAATTTTTTTTTACAGGAATATCTTTCGTTATTTGGCTGTTTTTGGAGATGTTTACATTTTAAAAGAATGTAAGGTAATAATTCACATTCAAACTGTTCATAATTTATGTTATTAGTAGCCTCCACTGTACATTGGCAGTGGTATATCCCCCTCTAGTGGTCTCTGTAACAGGTTTGTAATGTGCAGATTGAACTATTTGCATGATTCACGTCGATTTGTGCATCATCTGGGCAGATGTAATCACAAAAACGTTTCATTATTTCTTTATTTAGTAACTTTACCACAAACACAACAATGCATTTAATGTATTTTGTTGAATAAGATACACAATACATACACAATAGATACTTGATCATTAAGACAAAAAAACAAAAACAAATGCAAATGTAAATGCCCATTTAGAGAAATATCTTAATGCCCATTTAGATTGTTAGATATTTATACAATATGAAAGAAAAATCCAAAATAAATGGGGAACATACAATTCATTCATGAAACAAATACTGCAAATGTCTTTCTTATGTTTCCATAGCCGTACCTAACCTGCTATAACTGCTTCTACATTAGTACTGCAATATTATTTAACTATATGATAAATAGACTTACTATTCATGTCCCATGTACACCTAAATAGATTTAGTAGTTTACGAGCTCCAGTAATAGGGTTTCCCCAGTAGGCTCCAGTATCCACACTTAGACCACAGTCTCTACGCCCCACATCAAATCTCTGGGGTTGATGTAGCAGTAACAGGGTCCGTACGGAGAGAAGTCTCCCTCATAGTACACCACAAAACTGTCCCGCTGCTGCTGAGGCACCTGATGCACCTTAATACTATAGGCCCCGCAGTGACTGTCCATAGAGTAGGACTTCCTATCATAGATACTGTAGTTAGAGACACCTCCCATGGCCACCAAGGCACTAGCTGGGTAGCAGGCCTCCATGTAGCATCGCACTTCATCCTGGTTTTGGTTCCCTTTATTGATCAGATGACCAGACTCCTCCACTGTTGTAGTAGTAATGGACACAGAGTCTGCTCCAGCCCCAGATCTATACCCAGCCTCAGGCCCAGCCCCAGCCCCAACCCCAGCCGCAGCCCTCTTGTCCCCATCAGGCTAATCTGAGTCCCTGGCCACCCTGGAAGCCTCTTTGGTTCTACGCATCTGCTTCCTCCTCCTACACTTGCGACAGAGGCAGTTGAGACATTGGCGCCGGGTGGGGAACTTGGTGCAGCCGTTGGTTCTGTTAGCCAGGATGATAGCCACCACACCTGGGAGGAAGATGGCAGGTCCAATGGAGATGAGAGGGATCCCGCCCAGGGTCTCTCCCTTCATGCCCGACATGGTGAACATGAAGCCGAAGAACAGTAAGGGGCTGCTGATGGCCACCACCATCCCTGTGCGGGGGTTCATGTCGTCGACCCTCATGGTGTCCAGCCCTCCACTTCTCTGAGTTCGCTCACCTCGAGATGGTACACTCCTCAAAGTCCTCTTGTAACACTGTATTCCAGAGTCTGTTGGTGTTTACAAATCAATACAGAAATAAAGCTGTTAAAATCTACCATGATAGGTTAAGACATAATAGTAGAAAAGAGATACATACATTCTCATCCCAAATCCACCCCAAACCAATCTGTGACCTCCCCACATACAGGTAAGCCCCTCCTACAGAGGTGTCAACCCTCATTACAAGGATAAACTGTCAGAGCAGGAGATGGTTGCTTTTATAGTGAATGAGCACACGCCACAACCTCATGGTAAATGAATGCTGCAGAAACATGGAAGCCACTCACAAGACGGAATATGTCTGGTGCATGCAAGCTGTCGATCATTCAAATGGCATTGAGTGTCTAAGTAACACACTTTTCAAACAACCAGGCATGTCATGCATTCAATTATCTTTCTTAGCTATTTCACAGCACTAGTTCGTGTTGCACTTACCTTCTCCACTTCATAACAAAGGGTGGTAAGCAGGGGCGGCCTGTTCAATAGGGCGATATGGGCGACGCACTGCCAAACGGGAAAAGGAAGGGATTTTTTTTCTAATCAATTATATCACGGCAACAGTAGTTATCAGTGTTGTAATCTATACGTCTGATCTGCCACAGTGCCACACTGCCACTAAATGTCGAATCAGGCTAAAGTCGTGCTTCAAATGGCTCCCCCCCCTTTTGGGGCGATTTCAGTCAGGTTGAAAATCGCCCAGAAGTCTCTCATAGCCTCTAATGTAAAATCTATTTTTTTCAAATTTCAGAGCCTTCAATACAATCTCTATGGGTGTCTGAGGGCTTGCACTTACGCGCTTTCGTCATACGTAACGTAACGTAACCATGAACGTAACTGAGAAAAGAGCGGATTGTGTCTTTGAAAGAAGTTCCTTTTTGTCGGCGAACAAATGAAGATAAATTGGCAACGAAACAATTAGGACCTCCCAGACCAAATTTAATAATTCAACAGGTTTCTACTAAAGGCGGAAAGTCCTACACCCGAGGATTTTCCAAAAATTGGTACGAACGGAAAAATAACATTGCCACTCAACTTGATGAGGGATACAGGCTAGCTGTCCGCCGCCACAACGATGAGGTTAGTGTTGATAATCACAAGTTTACTGGAGAACTGAGACCAAGTAGAGACTTTGGACAGGGTGGATATGGTATAATAAAGGCAGTTTATTCAGAGGTAAAGATATCTGGAATCGCGTGCACGGACCCGTTCGTCAAACTCTTAGGGAGCTATAAATTAAGCCCCATTACTTACCATATCAGATAAGAGAAATTGCTGCAGCTACATATATTTTACATCCTGGCCCTACATAGTTCACTATTTGCATCACTTACCAAAATATTACATGTGGTCATATATGCTTGGAAAGTGGAGATGCCATAGAACGTCAAAAAAGTAAACATTGCTGGAGACACATTGCCGTTTTGGAGAAGACATCGCGTTTGCTAGCGAAGAGATTTGTTGTGGCAAATGAACTTGGGCTGGGAATTGCCAGGAACCTCACGATAAGATATATGCATCAGCATTGCGAGTCTCATGATTCTATACGTATTGCGATTCGATACTGTGATTTTATTGCGCACCATATGTCTGTTGCAGAGGGATCAGAAAGCCATGAGAACGAGTTTTGATCAGTCATGGAAATAAAAGTGCTGAAAACAAATTGGCTCCCAATGTGAAAAGATTGAGAACAAGCTATGAAGGAACAATAATGGTGTTTTGGTGCAGGTACAGCCAACTAGCGCTAAAATATTGCGATATTGTCAATACAGTATATCGTAAAGTATCACTATGTAACTCGATTTCTTTCACCCCAATCCCTCAAATTAACGGTAAATAACTGAATTGTTTGCCCCACATTTAGATAAGATGATTAGCTAGCCAGCTAAAATGTTTTATTTAGTTAGCAGTCGCATCTACAATAGTTTACTGTCAATAACATGTCTCCAAAAATGACGTGGTGTCTCCAATTGTGTTGACATTTTACAATTGCGATGCGCATCCATGATGAGTATCCACTTTCTGTAGCTCAGCTGGTGGAGCATGGCGCTTGTAACGCCAAGGTAGTGGGTTCGATCCCCGGGACCACCCATACACAAAAATGTATGCACGCATGACTGTAAGTCGCTTTGGATAAAAGCGTCTGCTAAATGGCATATTATTATTATTATCTGAAGAGAGCCCCGAAACATTGTGTGCAGACATTTTATGCAATAAATGAAGTAGGTTGAATCTAGTAGTTCTGATCTTCTGATTGGTCCTGATGAGTTGGGCGAGGTCCCCTCCAGGCTACTGTCACTGTTGCATTGGCTCTGAGTCGGGTTCTCTGTCTTCAAATGTTCAGCCTAAGAGAGGGGATTTTTGTGTGTGTGTGTGTGTGTGTGTGTGTTTAACAGTGATGATGTGTGTGTGTGTGTGTGTGTGTGTGTGTGTGTGTGTGTGTGTTTAACAGTGATGATGTGTGTGTGTGTGTGTTTGTGTGTGTGTGTGTGTGTGTGTGTCCTCAGAGCAAGAACTCGTGAGTTGGAAGAACTGAGAGGCCTATGGCGTGGGTGTTGTCCTTGGCCACCTGCTGACAAGGCTGACAAGATAGGACCCTTTTGTCCATTGTTATTGGATAGGAACAGAACTTATAACCAGCTCCTGACCTAAATAGATCTTAGCACAACATTTTACTCAACATATCATATTCCATATTCACTATAACAAATATATTTACTACGACATTAGCAAGAACCGCCACATCCTCAGCCGGCTAATCCAGTGTGTGAAGTTTTGCGGAGTGTTTGAGTTAGCTTTGCGAGGCAAAGATGAAACTGAGGGCTCCACCAACCCTGGTAAGCCAACACTTTTGAGATCAGTCAATAAATGCTTCTGGTATTGACTTATATGCTGCCCCTGTCTTCATGTTGTTGCTGGACATATCTTTTTTAAAATGTGTGTAGGTCACCTAAATCATCAGAAAAATTGCCCCCCCTGAGAATTTTTTCAGGAGCCGCCACTGGTGGTAAGCAACTGCCATATTCACTGAAGTATAGAACTTTCCCCTGTCAAATAATCAATTGCAGTTTTCCTTTGCATGTCAATTGAACTACTCAGAAAATTGTCACTTTTGAATTAGTAGAAAAACCTCTATCAAACATAATTCTATTCATACTTTATGAATGCTTCATTCAATGGAAAGGCTGGGTATAGTTGGTCTGTGCTGCATCGCCTGATGAAGTCTGTCTAGATATAACTGTGGTTGGTTGTGAGTTTGGAGGCAGTGTAGGGAGGTTGAAGATGGACATGGACCCTTTAGAACGGGATCTGACTTACAGAGGTGGAATGAATGTCATCCCGAACACTTCCATCTGCTCTGTGGT